CCCTCCCTCCCTCCCTCCCTCCCTCCCTCCCTCCCTCCCTCCCTTCCTTCCTTCCTTCCTTCCTTCCTTCCTTCCTTCCTTCCTTCCTTCCTTCCTTCCTTCCTTCCGGAAGGGGAGGGGAGGGCAGTACTGGAATTTATGAAGCTTTTTGTATGCATAATAACAGAAGTAAAGATTTCAGGAGCCAGGCACAGAGGCTCATCTGTTAACCCAATACTTTGGGAAGTCTAGGTTGGGGGATCCCTTGAGCCTAGGAGTTCAAGACCAGCCTGGGCAACATGATGAAACCCTGTCTCTACAAAACAAAATACAAAAATTAGCCAGGTGTGGTGGCATGCACCTGTAATTCCAGCTACTTGGGAGGATGAGGTGGGAAGATCACCTGAGCCCAGGGAGTCGAGGCTGCAGTGAGCCATGATCATGCCACTGCACTCCAGCCTAGGTGATAGAGTGAGACCCTATCTCAGAAAAATAAAAAATAAAATAAATAAAAATAAAAATAAATTCAGGACTATTGAACAACAATGAGAAAGGGGTTTGAAAAAATATGGGCCAGGCGAGGTGACTCTCGCCTGTAATTCTAGCACTTTGGGAAGCCGAGGCAGGCGGATCACTTCAGGTCAAGAGTTCAAAACCAGCCTATCCGACATGATGAAATCCCATCTTTACTAAAAATACAAACAATTAGCGGGGCATGGTGGCACACGCCTGTAATCTCAGCTACTTGGGAGGCTGAGGCAGGAGAATCACTTGAACCCAGGATGCGGAGGTTGCAATGAGCCAAGATTGCACCACTGCACTCCAGCCTTGGCAACAGAGCGAGACTCGTCTCAAAAAAAAAAAAAAAAAAAAAAGGAGAAACAGGTTCCTTATATGAGGATTTCCATCAAATGAATGTTTCTGCAGCTTCTGGAGTTCTGCTTAAAATGTGTTTCTCTAATTTGCCTTTTTTGGTTTTTGACTTGTACCACCTCTTGAGACACAGAAGCAGCTTCATCTGGCCTGGGATCTGAAGAGAAACTGCTTCTCGTCCTGAACGATCAATTCCTTGGCTTTAGAAAGTTAATTAGGCCGCGCGGGTGGCTCGTGCCTGTAATCCCAGCACTTTGGGAGGCTGAGGTGGGCGGATCACCTGAGGTTGGGAGTCTGAGGTCAGCCTGACCAACACGGAGAAACCCCGTCTCTATTAACAATACAAAATTTTTTAGTAGACTGTGATGGTGCATGCCTGTAATCTCAGCTACTTGGGCGGCTGAGGCATGAGGATTGCTTGAACCTGGGAGGCAGAGGTTGCAGTGAGCCGAGATCGTGCCATTGCACTCCAGCCTGAGCAATGAGAGTGAAACTCTGTCTCAAAAAAAAAAAAAAAAAAAAAAAAAAAAAAAAAAAGATTATCTAAGGCTGGCACGATGGCTCACGCATATAATCCCAGCACTTTGGGATGCTGAGGTGGGCAGATCACTTGAGGTCAGGAGTTCAAGACCAGCCTGGCCAACATGGTGAAACCCCGCCTCTACTAAAGATACAAAAATTGGCCGGGTGTGGTGGCTCACGCCTGTAATCCCAGCACTTTGGGAGGCCGAGGTGGGCAGATCGTGAGGTCAGTAGATCAAGACCATCCTGGCTAACACAGTGAAACCTTGTCTCTACTAAAAATGCAAAAAAATTAGCCGGGCATGGTGGTGGGCGCCTGTAGTCCCAGCTACTCAGGAGGCTGAAGCAGGAGAATGGCGGGGACCCGGGAGGCAGAGCTTGCAGTGAGCCGAGATTGCACCACTGCACTCCAGCCTGGACGACAGAACGAGACTCTGTCTCAAAGAAAAAAAAAAAGAAAAAGAAAAATACAAAAATTAACCGACCATGGTGGTGTATGCCTGTAGTCCCAGCTACTCAGGAGGCTGAGGTGGGAGGAGTGCTCGAACCTGATAGGCAGAGGTTGCAGTGAGCAGGGACCATGCCACTGTACTCCAGCCTGGGCAACAGAGCAAGACTCCATCTCAAAAAAAAAAAAAAGGAAAGAAAAAGAAAGTTATCTATGGAATTGTAATTATGGATGTCAGTTGTGATCTTTTTGTTTGTTGGTTTTTTGAGACAGGGTCTCACTTGCATCACGCAGGCTGGAGTACAGTGGCACACTTGGCTCACTGCAGCCTTGACTTCCCAGGCTCAGGTGATCCTCCCACCTCAGCCTCCTGAATAGCTATGACTACAGTTGTGTGCCCCCAAGCCTAGCTAATTTTTTGTATTTTTTGTAGAGACTGGGTTTCACCATGTTGTCTAGGCTGGTCTTGAACTCCTGGGATCAAGTGATCCACTGTACCCAAGCTAGTTGTGATCTTACATTACAGAACACCTACTATGTACCAGGCACTGGGATTTACGAATGAGAGGTGAGGCTGGGCGCGGTGGCTCAAGCCTGTAATCTCAGCACTTTGGGAGGCTGAGGTGGCAGGGAGGAATCTCCTGAGGTCACGAGTTCGAGACCAGCCTGGTCAACATGGTGAAACCCCCACCTCTACTAAAAATACAAAAATTCACTGGGCGTAATGGTGCATGTCTCTAATCCCAGCTAGTGGGGAGGCTGAGGCAGGAGAATCCCTTGAACCCGGGAGTCAGAAGTTGAAGTGAGCCGAGATTGTGCCACTGCACTCAAGCCTGGGCGACAAGAGTGAGACTCCATCTCAAAACAACAACCACAACAAAAAACGCAGTGGCTCACACCTGTAATCCCAGCACTTAGGGAGGCCAAGGTGGGCAGATCACGAGGTCAGGAGTTCAAGACCAGCCTGGCCAACATGGTGAAACCCGTGTCTACTAAAAATGCAGAAATTAGATGGGCGTCGTGGCAGGTGCTTGTAGTCCCAGCTACTTGGGAGGCTGAGGCAGGAGAATCGCTTCAACCCGGGAGACGGAGGTTGCAGTGAGCTGAGATCATGCCATAGAACTCCAGCCTGGGTGACAAGAGCAAGACTCCGTCCCCCCCCCAAAAAAAAAAAAAAAGAAAAGAAAAAGAAAAAGAGAGGTGAGCAAAAACAGATGTGGTTTTTACCATTAGAATTTTTAGAAAACAGAATCACACAAATGAATATCTATTTGCAGTGGAGAGGTCAGTGCTATGCAAGCAGATGAAAGGGAGCTCAGGGAAGCTTTTCCTGAGCTGGGGCTTGAGCTGGCTAAGATCCAAGAAAGGTGTCCATGTAGGGTGGGCCGTTTTTCTTCTTTTCAGGCTCCTCAGGGTAACTGATGTCTTCCAGGCCCTCATCTGCCCTCAAATTCCCATGGCCACTCCTCTAGGTACTCTGCATAATGATGTTTCTGCTTCAATAAAAGAAAGTCGCCGGGCGCGGTGGCTCACGCCTGTAATCCCAGCACTTTGGGAGGCCGAGACGGGCGGATCACGAGATCAGGAGATCGAGACCATCCTGGCTAACACGGTGAAACCCCGTCTCTACTAAAAAATACAAAAAACTAGCCGGGCGAGGTGGCGGGCGCCTATAGTCCCAGCTACTCGGGAGGCTGAGGCAAGAGAATGGCGTGAACCCGGGAGGCGGAGCTTGCAGTGAGCTGAGATCCGGCCACCGCACTCCAGCCTGGGTGACAGAGCGAGACTCCGTCTCAAAAAAAAAAAAAAGAAAAAAAGAAAACAGGTCACCACCCAAAGCAGTGGTTCCCACACTTTTTTTTTTTTTTTCTTTTTCAGACGCAGTTTTGCTCTTGTTATCCAGATTGGAATCCAATGGCACGATCTCTGCTCACTGCAACCCCTGTCTCCCGAGTTCAGGTGATGCTCCTGAATCCTGAATTCTTTTTTTTTTTTTTGAGACGGAGTCTCGCTCTGTAGCCCAGGCTGGAGTGCAGGCTGGAGTGCAGTGGCCGGATCTCAGCTCACTGCAAGCTCCGCCTCCCTGGTTCACGCCATTCTCCGGCCTCAGCCTCTCGAGTAGCTGGGACTACAGGCGTCCGCCACCTCGCCCGGCTAGTTTTTTTTGTATTTTTTTAGTAGAGACGGGGTTTCACCGTGTTAGCCAGGATGGTCTCGATCTCCTGACCTCGTGATCCGCCCGTCTCGGCCTCCCAAAGTGCTGGGATTACAGGCTTGAGCCACCACGCCCGGCCCTGAATCCTGAATTCTCTGAACTGGGATTACAGGCATGCACCACCATGCCTGGCTAATTTTGTATTTTTAGTAGAGACAGGGTTTCTCCGTGTTGGTCAGGCTGGTCTCAAACTCCTGACCTCGGGTGATCCACTCACCTCAGTCTCCCAAAGTGCTGGGATCACAGGTGTGAGCCACTGGGCTTTCCCACACTTTGATGAGCATCAGAATGGCCTGAGGAGCTTGGTAAGAACTCAGACTCCCTCCTTTTCTTGTCCATGGGCAGAAGTGGCCATTCAAGAGGTACTGACCCAGGGTTACAGGCGGCGGGCAGAAGGCTGAGTCTCTGGAGGAGCGAGTCAGATGACTTGCCGCAAAGAGAGTATCAGCAGAGGTTCAGCAGACACACCTTTGAGAGGGCACTTCCTACTTTCAGTTGTGTTTGGAATGCAAAGGTCGGGCTGAAACGGTGGCCACGGAGAAGGGGTGATGGATTTGAGAGGCTGAAGGGATGAGGAAGTGAGGGAGTCTAGATACTGAGCTCTCAAGCCTAGGTGTGAAACCGGGTGAGAAGTTTGGGCTTGTTTTAGGCTATGCCGAGTTTAAGTTCACGGTCCGGTGGATCAGAGCTGGCGGGTAAGGCTGAACGTGAGAGCGGGATGAGGGTTTGGAAGCCCTTGCCTAAAAGGAGGCAATTTTTTGAGACAGCGTAGGACAGCGCAAACCTCCAGGATCACAGGGCTGCAGTATTCTCCTTTCGGAGACCCCATTGCAGAGAAGAGCGAAATCAGGGGCGGGGTGGGGGTGGTAGTGGTCTCTTCCGGTTCTTGAAGAGAGCGTCCCTTAGGCAGGAGGGACGGGTCTTGGAGCACTCAATCTCCAGGCTTGGGAGGCCCCCAGCAATTCGGACGCGGAGGGCTAGGCCGCCACCGCGAGCCCAGTCGCCCGATACGCGCCTTGGGGTCCGGGTCGGCTTTCACCCGGACCCCTGGCCGGAAACTGAGCCGTTTACTTCCGCCACCAGCCGGAAGTTTTCTGTCACTGGACGCCAAGGAGTTTTCGGTGGCTCAGCTGGGTAACCGGGGCTCACCATGGCGGCCTCATTGGTGGGGAAGAAGATCGTGTTTGTCACGGGGAACGCCAAGAAGCTGGAGGAGGTGCCGGGAGGGTGTTGGGGGCTGACTGGGAGGCAGCTGGGAATACGGCAGAGAAGGGGCTTCCGGGTGGAGGGAAGCACGTGGGAGGAGGCATGGAGAGAGAAGAGAATTCAGCCCGGAAGGATGGGTCCTGACCCGGCTGTGTGGAAAGGCTGGGGCGCAAGAAGGGAGTGGCTGCGGAATCGGGGCGCCCCGGAGTTGGCGAAGGAACGAGGGTCTTGACAAATCCCGACACAGGGCTTGTGTGGTCAGCGACTGCGGGACCCGGAGGAGTAGCGGGGCCCTTAGCAACCGCCCCGAAGTCACCTATTGAAGTAGACCCCAACCCAGTGTCCCGATACTCTTCTGGGACTTATCCACATCCCGCTGCTGGGCCAGGGCTAGCAGGACCCACAGAGGGCGTGGGGCGGAGTTCCACACTAAGCAATCCGTGCCCCACCACCGTCCTAAAATGTTCTAACCTCTTCGCGTGTGTGAAGTGGGGATGATGCAGGACATTTGCTTCACAGCGCTACAGGGAGGAGGAGTAAAGGAGGCAGTGGATCTAAAGTTTCTGTTTGCAGGGACTTTGTGGCTAGCAAGTAACAGAGACACACAGGGAGTTCATGTAAGCCACCAGATGACTCCTGTGGGAATATAATGTTACAGTGTCCTGCAGGACCTGAGGTTCCCTCAAGAAGCTGACTTGTCCTTGTTCTCTCTGGATGCTGATCCCTATTCCTGTTCATAGATTTCCCCTTTCTTCCCTGCTGGGGGATGGAACAGTGAGACTTCTACCAGATATCAGCCCCGACTGGCTTTGCTTGAATCAAGTGTTTGCCCCTGTTCAATCAGCCATAGCCACGGAGTGGGGGTCATGTGTAGGGGATCAGGATGACACCCACTGGATATGTCTGAGTCAGACCAGCGGGGTGTAATCACTAGGGAAACCTATATTTGCCTGTAGCGTAGGGAGGGACTGATGTCACTTTGGTGCCAGGACAAAGTGGCCTCAGGAACCAGAACCTTCTGCTGAAAAAAGGTTTGGGATCCTGAGGCCAGACCAGTCAGGCAGTGCCACCCTGAACAGAGCCCATGCAGGACAATGGGCATGAGACCCCAAACCTCTGACTGAGAATATTGCCCTCATTTAAAGAAGGAGCTGGAGCCTGGGTGCGGTGCCTCACGCTTGTAATCCCAGCACTTTGGGAGGCTGAGGCGGGCAAATCATCTGAGGTCAGGAGTTCAAGACCAGCTTGGCCAACATGGTGAAACTCCATCTCTACTAAAAATACAAAAATTAGCTGGGCATGGTGGCACATGTCTGTAGTCCCAGCTACTCAGGAGGCTGAGACAGGAGAATCGCTTGAAGCCCGGAAGCAGAGGTTACAGTGAGCTGAGATGACACCACTGTACTCCAGCCTGGGTGACAGAGTGACAGAGTGAGACTCCGTCTCAAAATAAAAAAAGAAGAAGAAGAAGGTGCTAGAGTAGCCAAGGGAGACTCCTTGGAGAACATGGACTTGAACTTGGCCTAAAACAGGTAGTCTTTTTTTTTTCTTTTTGAGACAGAGTCTCACTTTGTCACCCAGGCTGGAGTGCAGTGGTGTGATCTCTGCTCGCTGCAACCTCCGCCTCCTGGGTTAAAGCGATTCTCCTGCCTCAGCCTCCTGAGTATCTGAGATTACAGGCATGCGTCACCACGCCTGGCTAATTTTTGTATTTTTAGTAGAAACGGGATTTTGCCATGTTGGCCAGACTGGTCTCAAACTCCTGACCTCAGGTGATCCACCCTCTATCTGCTTCCGCCTCCCAAAGTGCTGGGATTACAGGCGTGAACCACCTCGCCCAGCTGTGGTTTTTTTTTTTTTTTTTTTTAAGACAAGTCTCACTCTGTCGCCCAGGCTGGAGTGTAGTGGCACTCTCTCAGCTCACTGCAACCTCCGCCTCCTGGGTTCAAGCAATCCTCATGCCTCAGCCTTCCCAGTAGCTGGGACTACAGGTGTGTGCCACCACACCCAGCTAATTTTTGTATTTTTAGTAGAGACAGGGTTTCTCCATGTTGGTCAGGCTGGTTGGTCTTGGACTCCCGACCTCAGGTGATCTGCCCGTTTCCACCTCCCAAAGTGTTAGATTACACGCATGAGCCACTGCGCCTGGTCGAACGGGTAGTCTTAACTAGTGGTATGCCATTGGCAGACTGAGGAAACCTATAGAATCTTTCTCAGAAAAATAGTTTCAAATGTACAAAAGAAAATACATGGTATTACAGGCTGGGCACTGTGGTTCATACCTATAATCCCAGCACTTTGGGAGACTGAGGCTCAAGGAGGATCTCTTGAGCCCAGGAGTTCAAGACCAGCCTGGGCAACAAAGTGAGACCCTAGCTCTACAAATAATTAGCCTAAGCATGGTACCTGGGCCACCTGTGGTTCTAGGTACATGGGAGGCCGAGGCAGGAGGATCTCTTGGACCCAGGAGGTTGAGGCTCTAGTGAGCTGTGTTTGTGCCACTGTATTCCAGCCTGGGTGACAGACAGAGAGAGATCCTCTCTCAAAAAAAAAATAAAATAAATAAAATAATAGGATTACAAAGGAAATCAACTATAGTGAATTACAATTATCAAAATGTTACAAATATTTGTGATTTAGTTATCTATACTTTCTTTTTTTTTTTTGAGACGGAGTCTCGCTGTGTCGCCCAGGCTGGAGTGCAGTGGCGCGATCTCGGCTCACTGCAAGCTCCGCCTCCTGGGTTCACGCCATTCTCCCACCTCAGCCTCCGAGTAGCTGGGACTACAGGCGCCCGCCACCACGCCCGGCTAGTTTTTTTTTTTGTATTTTTAGTAGACACGGGGTTTCACCATGTTAGCCAGGATGGTCTCGATCTCCTGACCTCGTGATCCACCCGCCTCGGCCTCCCAAAGTGCTGGGATTACAGGCTTGAGCCACCGCGCCCGGCCTAGTTATCTATACTTTCTTAATGCATTAAAGAATTTAATCTACCAATGTATGAGTAATTACTTTTTTTTTTTTTTTTTTTTTTTTTTTTTTTTTTTTTTTTTTCCCGAGACGGGGTCTCACTCTGTTGCCTAAGGCTGGAATGCAATGGTGCAATCTTGGCTCACTGTAGCCTCAATCTTCTGTGCTCAAGCAATCCTCCTGCCCCAGCCTCCTGAGTAGCTGGGACTTAAGGCGCATGCCACCATGCCCAGCTAATTTTTGTATTTTTTGTAAAGATGGGGTTTTGCCATGTTGTTCAAGCTAGTCTCAAACTTCTGGGCTCAAGCAATCTGCCCACCTTGGCCTCTGAAAGTGCTGAGATTACAAGCGTGAGCCACAGCACCTAGCCCCTTAATTTTAAAATACCCAGATAAATGGTATTTTGAGATATCTGCAGCAGTTGTAATGAGTTATAACAACATCTGTGATTTTAGTAGGTTTAAAAGTCACAGGAACTGCTAGTAATATTTTGGTTTGTTACCTATATTCATAATGGAAAAAGATACTAAATTTCTTTTTTTTTTTTTTTTGAGACGGAGTCTCACTCTGTTGCCCAGGCTGGAGTGCAGTGGCGCGATCTCGGCTCACTGCAAGCTCCGCCTCCTGGATTCAAGCCATTCTCCTGTCTCAGCCTCCCGAGTAGCTGGTACTACAGGTGCCCGCGACCATGCCAGGCTAATTTTTTGTATTTTTAGTAGAGATGGGGTTTCACCATGTTAGCCAGGGTGGTCTCGATCTCCTGACCTCGTGATCCACCCGCCTCAGCCTCCCAAAGTGCTGGGATTACAGGCGTGAGCCACTGTGCCCGGCCAAAGATACTAAATTTCAATTAAGGTTACTAAGACTAAAGATATTTTTTTTCCAATCCATGTTCACAGGCCTCCTGAATTCTGGGTATCTTCTGATAGAGAATTTCTGGTTTAGGAGGGTGGCTAGGGTTTCTAGGAGCATTGAGAAAAGAAGAGGGTGTTCTGGATGGGGGCTTAGCACAAGCAGAGACCTGATGTAGGAGAGATAGAGAAGTAAGGAGATGGAAGGGGCTGGCTTGCTGGGGTGGGACCCTGAAAGCCGGGGTGAGGCTCACGGGCCTGAGTTGGTAAGCTTTAGGAGATTGGCAGGAGAGTTATCGATGAGAAAGGTGGATGACAGCTCACGTGCTCACATAGTAATGGGGAATCATTAGATGGTGATAAATCTTCTCTTTTCTTTTGGAACAGGTCATTCAGATTCTAGGAGATAAGTTTCCATGCACTTTGGTGGCACAGAAAATTGACCGTATGTCTCTGTTTTGTTTTATTTTTAAAAGATGGTTGGATTTTATCTGTCTTCCTGTGACCTGACTCTCTGTGTGTCTGTTTCCCTGATAAGTGCCGGAGTACCAGGGGGAGCCGGATGAGATTTCCATACAGAAATGTCAGGAGGCAGCTCGCCAGGTGCTTACCCTGCCCTTGTCCCACACTTGCTCCTCTTGTCCAGGTAGCTTCCAGGGCCTCTGCCTGCTGGAAACAATAGAGTAAACAAGTTTGTTGAGCTTTCTAGGACCGACCCAGAGCCCTCTAGGGTTCAGTTAATATTGACTTTGGAACACTGCCTTCCTTTGCCAGCCTTGAATACATGGTATCTCCCCCAGACCATTACTATACACTCCTACATACACACAGACTCTCCTTCCCCCAAATGCTCAGACACATGCATTCCAGCCCTACGTCCTCCCCACACACATCCACCGCTGCATTCACACTTGTTCGTGGAACTCAGAAAGCATGCTGTGGAGAGTCAGGCTGAGTGCGAATCCCAGCTCTCCCATTGCTGTGCCTGGAGCAAGCTTTACAATCAGCCAAAGCTTTGGTGTCTTCATAAGATAAGAGATTGGCCAAAGGTAAGAGATTGGCCGAGGGCAGCTCCCAGGGCGCTGTCTGCCACAGATCTCAGCTGGCTGAGGGCTGGCCCCAGCCTGGGTGACCTCGGTGTTCCAGGAGGGGATGGTGATCGTGTGTCTCAGGGCTGCATGTCTTTGTGCTGCAGGTACAGGGGCCCGTGCTGGTTGAGGACACCTGTCTGTGCTACAACGCCCTTGGAGGGCTCCCCGGCCCCTACATGTGAGTGCCCACCTCCACCCCCTTACAGGACCCCAGGCCCAAAACCACCAGAACTGCAAAATGACGAGGCACCTGATACTGCAGGTCATTCCCTGTCTTCGCATCAACAGTCTTTCACGTTGTCCCGAGGAAAGATGGGATAGGAGAAGCATGTCTTTCTTTTGTAAAGTGTGAGAATGCGACCTGTAAGTGGAGATGGTAAAGGGGACCCCACGCATTTGAGAAGTATGTTCATAGGTAGATTAATTTCAGGAAAGAGGGCCGGGCGCGGTGGCTCAAGCCTGTAATCCCAGCACTTTGGGAGACCGAGACGGGCGGATCACAAGGTCAGGAGATCGAGACCATCCTGGCGAACCCGGTGAAACCCCGTCTCTACTAAAAAATACAAAAAACTAGCCAGGCGAGGTGGCTAGTAGTCCCAGCTACTCGGGAGGCTGAGGCAGGAGAATGGCGTGAACCTGGGAGGCGGAGCTTGCAGTGAGCAGAGATCGCCTGGGCAACAGAGCGAGACTCCGTCTCAAAAAAAAAAACTGAGCTCAAGCAATCCGCCTGCCTTAGCCTCCCAAAGTGCTGGGATTACAGACAGGAGCCACCTCGCCTGGCCCTTGGAGGCATTCTTTTTCATTTACCCTTGGCTGTCAATAGGGAACAGCCAGGAAAAGGTGGTAAGAAGATCCAGCTGCTCCTGGTGTTCTGACTCTCCTTTATTTCTCTTGCAGAAAGTGGTTTCTGGAGAAGTTAAAGCCTGAAGGTATTATCTGCTTTGTTTCTTCCCTGGATCTGTTGGGAATGAGAATCTGGGTTTGCTCTAGGGGAGGGACCCCAACTAGTAGTCAGGAGTCCCAGGTTCTAGCCCCCACCACGGAGCCTCCACCTCATTTTCCCCATCTAGCACTGGTAGTTCACACTTACCCTGTACTCCAGAGAGCACTGTGTGGGGGAGAGATGGTGGGAGCTATAGGGTTGAGGAGCCTTCAAGAGGGACTTGGCCCTCGTGACTGCTTTAGCCAGGGCCTGCCCTGGGAATTGGAGGACTGCCCCTCCTGGACCCCAGCAGTGCGTATCCTGTCACCCACAGTTGCAAGCCAAAATGTCCCATCTTTATGTGCTTTTATTTATTTATTTAGAGACAAGGTCTCACTCTTGCCCAGGCTGGAGTGCACTGGTGTGATCTCGACTCACTGCAACCTCCGCCTCTTGTGTTCAAGCGATTCTCCTGCTGCAGCCTTCCAAGTAGCTGGGATTACAGGCGCCTACCACCATGCCCAGCTAATTTTTGTATTTTAAGTAGAGAGGGGGTTTCACCATGTTGGCCAGGCCAGTCTCGAGCACCTGACCTCAAGTGATCCTCCTACCTTGGCCTCCCAAAGTGCTGGGATTACAGGTGTGAACCACCACACCCAGCCTATTTATTTATTTATTTATTTATTTATTTATTTATTTATTTGAGATGGAGTCTCACTGTTGCCCAGGCTGGGGTGCAGTGGCTCAACTCACTGCAACCTCTGCCTCCCTGGTTCAAGCAATCCCCCTGCCTCAGCCTCCCAAGCAGCTGGGATTACAGGCATGTGCCACCACGCCGGCTAAATTTTTTTTGAGAGATGGAGTCTCGCTCTGTCACCCAGGCTGGAGTGTAGTAGCACGATCTCGGCTCACTTCAACCTCCACCTCCCGGATTCAAGCGATTCTTCTGCCTCAGCCTCCTGAGTAGCTGGGACTTCAGGCATATGCCACCATGCCCAACTAATTTTTGTATTTTTAGTAGAGTTGGGATTTCACCATGTAGGTCAGGATGGCCTCAATCTCCTGACCTTGTGATCTGCCTGCCTCAGCCTCCCAAAGTGCTGGGATTACAGGTGTGAGTTACCACGCCTGGCCTTTTTTTTTTGTTGTTGGAGACAAGTTTCACTCTTGTTGCCCAGGCTGGAGTGCAATGGCACGATCTCGGCTCACTACAACCTCTGCCTCCTGAGTTCAAGCGATTCTCCTGCCTCAGCCTCCCGTGTAGCTGGGATTACAGGTGCCTGCCACCACGTCCAGCTAATTTTTGTATTTTTAATAGAGACAGGGTTTCACCATGTTGGCCATGTAGATCTCGAACTCCTAACCTCAGGTGATCCACCCACCTCGGCCTTCCAAAATGCTGGGATTACAGGCATGAGTTACCGCACCCATCCTTATGTGCTTTTAAAAACACTTCACATTGGCCAAGGGCGGTGGCTCACGCCTGTAATCCCAGCACTTTGGGAGGCCGAGGTGGGCAGATCACGAGGTCAGGAGATCGAGACCATCCTGGCTAACACGGTGAAACCCCGTCTCTACTAAAAATACAAAAAATTAGCCGGGCGTGGTGGCGGACACCTGTAGTCCCAGCTACTCAGGACCCGGGAGGCGGAGCTTGCAGTGAGCTGAGATCGCGCCACTGTACTCCAGCTTGGGTGACAAAGCGAGACTCCGTCTCAAAAAAAAAAAAAAAAGGACACTTTACATTATAGAGCATTTCACATCTGCACAGTAGAATATCATAATAGGATAATGGGCATAAATATATACAGTTATTGTTTGTCAATTAAAAAAAGCATAGCAGAATAATGAACCTCAGTCACCATCAACCAGCTTCCAGGGTTATCAGCACAATGCCTATTTTGTGACATCTATAACCCCTCTTATTTTTCCTAAGTCCAGTATTTTAAGGCAAATCACAGACACCATATCATCAGTAAGTTCTTCAGCTTGTATTTATTTTTATTTGTTTTAATTTTTTTTGGAGACAAGGGTCTCCCTCTGTTGCCCAGGCTGGAGTGCAGTGGCTCAATCTCAGCTCACTGCCCACCATCCGGGCTCAAGTGATCTTCCCACCTCAGCCTCTTGAGTAGCTGGGACTACAGGTGTAAGCCACCATGCCTAGCTAATTTTTGTGTTTTTTATAGAGGTGAGGTCTCACTATGTTGCCCTGGCTGGTCTCAAACTCCTGAGCTCAAGTGACCCACCCGCCTTGGCCTCCCAAAGTGTTGGGATTACAGGTATGAGCCACCAAATGCAGCCACTGTATTTCTAAAAGGTGAAAAATTAAGAAACTGTTAAATAACTAAAATATAATCATTTTTAAATATTACCTAATCATTTTTTGGATTTCCTTGGTTGTAGAAAAAGTGCCTATTAAAGTTGGTTAGTTTTTTTGTTTTGTTTTGTTTTTTTGAGACGGAGTCTCGTTCTGTTGCCCAGGCTGGAGTGCAGTGGCGCGATCTCGGCTCACTGCAAGCTCCGCCTCCCGCATTCATGCCATTCTCCTGCCTTAGCTCCCGAGTAGCTGGGACTGCAGGTGCCGGCCACCACACCCGGCTAATTTTTTTTTGTATTTTTAGTAGAGACGGGGTTCACCGTGTTAGCCAGGATGGTCTCGATCTTCTGACCTCGTGATCTGCCCACCTCGGCCTCCCAAAGTGCTGGGATTACAGGCGTGAGCCACCGCGCCCGGCCTACAGTTGGTTAGTTTTGAATCAGGAATCAAACAAGGTCCACACTGCATTGGCTAGTTTTCTAACTTTAAATAAAGCCTTGTGTCGTCAGCCTGTGCTAGAGGAAAGCGAGAATGCCCAGAGACTTCTATTTCAAGCCTAGTCCCACTGCCTTGGGCTCTGCCGCGCCTGCTACCCCAATTGAGACCTAATTTCCCTTTTTAGGGAATTCCTGCCTCCCCACCCTTAGTGGGCTTCTTGGGAGTGGGGATGGGAGTTAGCCAGCAGGGATGCCCTGAGCCCTCACTGCCCACCCGCAGGTCTCCACCAGCTCCTGGCTGGGTTCGAGGACAAGTCAGCCTACGCGCTCTGCACGTTTGCACTCAGCACCGGGGACCCAAGCCAGCCCGTGCGCCTGTTCAGGGGCCGGACCTCGGTGCGTAACCACCTTGATGCAGTTCCCGCCGCGCGCCGCCAGGGGGTGCCGCGACAGGAGCCGACCGCCCTGGGTCTGCGGGAGGGTGGGGGGAAGGGCGCCTTGGGGCCAAAGATATCTTGACTTGCTGAGAGGCTCCCCTGGGTATAGGTAGAAGTGCTAGCATAGGTATAGCATAGGTAGAAGTGCTGTCAATCCTAGGAGGGTGGTGGAAAGGGTGCCCTGGGGCCAGAGTAGTTACTTTCGCCTTGCTGAGGGGCGCCCCTGGGCAGGACAATGGAAGTGTTGTCAATTCTGAAACCTGTTTGACCCCTGAGGCTGTTGTTTCAGGGAAAGGCTTGGCTAACAGCTCCTGAGGCCTGATAGACCCAGAAGAGCAAACTGAAGGTGACAACTCCCAAAACTACTTTTTTTCCTTTTCTTTTCTTTTTTTTTTGTTGTTGTTAGTAAGAAACCACACTTGGATCAAAGCTACATGTATAGCCCAGACTTCTCCAAGCTCAGATTTCCTTATCCAACTGCCAAGGTGCTGACTATCTCTCAGCCTTTCCAGCTTTTCGTGTTTATGTATAATAGAATCTTAATTTTTTTTTTTTTGAGACAAAGTCTTGCTGTGTTGCCCAGGCTGGAGTGCAGTGGTGTCATCTCGGCTCACTGCAACCTCTGCCTCCAGGGTTCAAGTATACAATGTGAATTCTTGGCCAGGTTTGATGATTTACACCTGTAATCCTGGTACTTTGGGAGTCCCAGGTGGGAGGCTTTCTTGAGCCCAGGTGTTCAAGATTAGCCTGGGCACCATAACAAGACCCCATCTTTACAAATAATCTAAAAATGAGGCCAGGCGTGGTGGCTCACGTCTGTAATCCCAGCACTTTGGGAGGCCGAGGCAGGTGGATCACCTGAGGTCGGGCGTTCAAGAACAGCCTGGCTAGCATAGCTAAACCCTGTCTCTACTAAAAATGCAAAAAATAGCTGGACCTGGTGGCAGATGCCTGTAATCCCAGCTACTCGGGAGGCTAAGGTGGGAGAATCGCTTGAACCCAGGAGGCAGAGGTTGCAGTGAGCCGAGATCCCGCTACTGCACTCCAGCCTGGGGGTGACAAGAGCAAGACTCCGTGCTTCCCCCCCCCACAAAAAAAATGAGGCTGAGCACAGTGGCTCACACATGTAATCCCAGCACTTTGCAAAGCGAAAGCAGGAGGATCGCTTGAGGCCAGGAGTTTGAGACCAGCCTGGGTAACATAGCCAGACCCTGTCTCAAAAATAAATAAATAAATAATTAGCTGGGCATGATGGTGCACACCTGTAGTCCCAACTACTTGGGAGGCTGAGGTGGGAGGATCACCTGAGCCTAGGAGTTTGAGGGTACAGTGAGCTATGATCGCACTCCTGCACTCCAGCCATGGAGTAATGGAGTGAGACCCAGTCTCAAAAAATAATAATAATAATAATAACACCTTAATTATTTGCCCAAACTTATTCCTTCCGTGAGATGTATTCCACACCCCTTACCTGCCTATCAGATTCTGAATTATAGCTGCTTCTCCCAGGGTCCAGACTACCCTCCAGGCTGGCTGCTGCCCCTGTGCCCACCTGCTCTCTCCCTGTGCAGAAGCATGCCTTCTGCCACTTCACTCCTCTGCGCAGTCCTGCTGCTCAGGAGAATGTCCAGAGATTCCACTGGGAGCTGTTCACAGATGTCTTACCTTGTCTGGTCAAAGTTTTTGGTGGTGGTGGTGATGGTTAAAAAAAAAAAATTACTATCGTAACCATTTTTTTTTTCTTGGTACTCACTGGTTATAGCTTTTTTGTTTGTTCGTTTGAGACGGTGTCTTGCTCTGTTGCCAGGCTGGAGTGCAATGGCATGATTTCGCCTCACTGCAACCTCCACCTCCTGGGTTCAAGCAATTCTCCTGCCTCAGCCTCCCGAGTAGCTGGGATTACAGGCGTGCGCCACTATGCCTGACTAATACAGGCATGCGCCACAATGCCCGGCTCATTTTTGTATATTTAGTAGAGATGGGGTTTCGCCATTTCGGTCAGGCTGGTTTCGAACTCCTGACTTCGGGTGATCCACCCTCCTTGGCCTTCCAAAGTGCTGGGATTGTAGGCATGAGCCACCGTGCAGGCCCCCATACTTTCATTATTGAACTTAACACCTTGTTCATTCCCTTTAAGGCACTTTGCATTGTATAATCATTACTTTTATTAATTTGTTTACTGGTGTAATGCCTGTTTGGCTTAAGAGGTCTATTGTATGAGGGCAAGGCTAGGCCCACTGTGGGTGCACAAAACACATTTGTTGTATGGTTGAGGTTCAGTAACTGGCCTTGGTCACGCAGCCTCTCATAGCGGAAGTAGAATTTGCCTTTGGGTTTAAATTACTTGGCATTTATGTGACTAATCCCAATCATGTACTACCTCCACTGTATTTTTTAAAAATTAAAAAAAAATGTTTTTAAGACAGGGTCTTGCTTTATCACCCAGGCTGGAGTGCAGTGGCATGGTTACAGTTCATAGCAGCCTTGATCTCTCAGGCTCAAGTCATCCTCCCACCTCAGCCTCCTGAGTAGCTAGGACCTCAGGTGCGAGCTACTACATCTGGCTAATTAAAAAAAAAAAAAAAATTGGTAGAGATAGGGTCTGACTGTGTTGCCCAGACTGGTCTTGAACTCCTGGGTTTAAACCATCCTCCCTCCTCCGCTTCCCAAAGCGCTGAGATTACAGGCATGAGCTACCACACCTGGCCCCTTGTATTTTTTCAGTTAGAATTTTTTGGGTTTTTTTGTTTGTTTTTTGGAATGTTTGTATGTTTGTTTTGAGACAGGGTCTCAGTCTGTCGCCCGGGCTGGATCACAGCTCACTGCAGCCTCGACCTCTTGGGCTCAAGCAGTCTTCCCACCAAGTATCTGGGACTACAGGCTCACACCACCAGGCTAGGCTAATTTTTGTATTTTTTGTAGAGATGGGATTTCGCCTTTGCCATGTTGCCCAGGGTAGTCTCAAATTGCTGGGCTCAAGTGATCTTCCCACCTCAGCCTCTCAAAGTCCTGGAATTACAGGCATGAGCCACCGTGCCTGGCCAGATTGTTTTTTCTTTTTTTTTACTTTGATAACAACATGACATTTCATGTCACTGGATTACAATTTGTTCTTTTTTCTAACATTTTCACTGTGGAATTTCCCTACTACAGCCAGTATTTACTGTACTCACTTATGTGTTCATGAAGTGGGGAGCTGGGTGCCTGCTTCTGGTTGCAGTGTTTCATCGTATGGTTAAAGTCTTCCTCGCATTTTCAGGAACACGGTCATAGTGGCAGGCATCTGGCTTGTCCACAGACTTCAGGGCACTTAGCTTCCTATTAGGAGAAAACGTTTTCTATCTATCAAAGTAGCCTCATTGTTCTTCAGTGATATCCCAATTTGTCCCGGGTGTGGCGAGGGCACGTGGCCTCGGAGGTGCCAGTGGGCCCATCGGGTGCATGCCTCCTCCCTGTGTGAGGGGAGAGCTGCCCCACTCTGCTTTTTATTGTATTCAGCAAACATTTGCAGGTGCTATAGAGGCCTTGCAACTATTTTGCATAAGTTGGGTCAAATCAAATTCACAAACTCACCAAACTCCTACTGGCCACTGCCCTCCTCATGCTTGTCCTCTGGACTGAGTTACACACCAGTACCCCCTTTCCTTTGGCAGGGCCAGATCGTGGCACCCAGAGGCTGCCGGGACTTTGGCTGGGACCCCTGCTTTCAGCCTGATGGATATGAGCAGACGTAAGGAGCCCTGGTTTCTTCCCTGGGGTGTGGGGTTGGCATAGCCATAGTTTGGGTTGGGCCAGTGCCCCGCCCAAGTGCAGGCATGCGGATATGGGCTGGGGAGGCTCTGAGGGTGCCGTTCCAGCCAAAGGCAGCTCTGCTGGGGTGGACACTAGGAATCTGGGTGGCCTAGTCCATGGTCGGGAAGGCAGCCAGATGGCACCGGGAGTCCTGGGCTCTAAGGCTCCAGGTCACCCCACATCAGCTGTGTAGCCAGTGGTTTCGCCTCTCTGGCCTTGGCTTGTAAGCTGTACCTCTGACTTTTTTTATTTGAGACGGAGTTTTGCTTGCTGCTGGAGTGCAGTGGTGCAGTGGTGTGATCTCGACTCACTGCAGCCTCTGCCTTCCGGGTTCAAGCGATTCTCCTGTCTCAGCTGGGATTGCAGGCACACACCATCATGCCCAGCTAATTTTTGTTATTTTTGGTAGAGACGGGATTTCACCAGATTGGCCAGGCTGGTCTCAAACTGACCTCAGGTGATCCACCCGCCTTGGCCTCCCAAAGTGCTAGGATTACAGGCATGAGCCACTGCGCCTGGCCACATCTGACAGTTTTATGGCGTCATTTTCTGACCCCCATCTAGGTTGGGAAAATGTCCAGGGTTTTGCAGCCTCTTGTGGGCACTATTTTATGCCCTCAAAGTACCAGTTGTTCTCAGTAGTTCGCACGAATCCCCCCTTATTCACACAAGGCACGGGCCATTGTTGGAATCAGGCTTTCCAGGCTGGAGGGGCCCTGAGGGAACGCAGTCTGAGGCCCCACAATAGCCCCAGCAGGGGTAAGGACATTGTGGAACCAGCCACTAGCCATATGGGGCTGTGGAGTACTTGCATGTGGTGAGACCCAGAAATGGAATATTTTTATTCAGTGTTAATTCATTTAAATAGCCACACCTGGCTAGTGGCTACTGGCTGCCGTCTTGCACAGAGCAGTCTGCAGGCCACAGGCGGGGTATGGGATTCTCACCTCACTGCCGTGCTGGCACGGAGGTCAGGCCCCTGGCCAGCTGTTCAAGTGCTCCCCCGCCCTCCGCGCATTAGAGGAGACTGCTGTGTTTGCTCTGTCAGGCCCCACTGCTTCCTGTCAACAGATGACAAAGCTGATCAAACATGTAGCTCATCCCCCCTGTCCCCAGCTTCCCTTAATGACTTTTGGGCACACTAGAGCAAGTTTAATATCCCTCCATGCTCATTCATGGGGGTTTCTGCCCCAGGGGAATTGAAAACTTGATCCGATTTTTAAAAGTTAACTGGCTGCCAGCAACTGCTGGGCCCCTCTGCTTTTCTGGGGGTCTGTGAGCTTTGGACTCCAGGGATGAGATGAGGTAGGGTAGGGAGGGGGTGCGTTTCCTCCCTGAATCTGGGCTCCCTGAGCTGTTACTGTCATCCCTCAGGTACGCAGAGATGCCTAAGGCGGAGAAGAACGCTGTCTCCCATCGCTTCCGGGCCCTGCTGGAGCTGCAGGAGTACTTTGGCAGCTTGACTTCTGCGGCTGGGGGAGGCCCCTCAGGCCGGGGATCTGGGGAGGGCTAGCCTGAAACCTCCCGCATCAGGCAGGCACCCCTGGAAGTACTTCCTTCAGGGTTTCCCCTTCCTGGGGGTGTCGAGTAGCCTCACCAGCCTGTCTGGAGGAGCAGCTGGCTCTGCTCTGAGAAACTCTGGGCAAGTGGATGCCATTCTCTTGCCCTTAGGATTCACTGCTCTCTCCTACAACCTCCAGGCCTGGGATCCTGCAAGGACCTTGGGTGGTAAAGCTGGACTTGGTGGGAGTGAGGGCTTGGGGAGGAACCATGCAAATCACCTCCCATGTTTTTTAAATGCAATAAATAACACTTCTGGATGAGACTTGTTTCCAAAATAAACCAGCTATATCTGTTTTGAACCCTGCCCCAGGCAGGTGTCTGTCTCAGTCTCCTTTGGCAGGTGCAGGAAGCCTTTTAGGTGGGGGTGGGGATGGGGACACGGGCAGCACTCTGTGGAAGGCGTTCGGATGCCACTGTGAACTGGAGTGTTACATCTCCACTCGCGTTCCTGCCTCACTCAGTGGCATGGATTGTGGGCTGACCTCCACCCTGGATCCATGCTGCCCCCTACCTGCAGGTAGTGCCAGGGCCTCCATGAAGCCTTACTGGGTTGGGGGCTGGGCGGTGTGGCACGCCCAGTGCTTTTGCCTTATGCTGTTACACAGCAGAGCCGCTAAAATGTTGGTTTACAATTACAATGCCCAGTTCATTTTTATGGTGAGGAGGGGCTGGAGTCCTCGACCCCAGTTGGCTTGATAGCCACAGTTCAGCCTGCCGGCTGCAGACCCCTCAGGAGACCTCGCTCATGCCACACACCCTTACTCTGTGCCCTGGAGAAGTCATTGCCTGGAAGGGACTTCCCCAGGTGGCTGCCTTGTCAGAGTGTCCAACCCAAGGACATTCAAGGGGGGCATGGTAGGCTCAGGCTGGTGGGGCACCCCCAGGCTTGCTTCTGTGCCCACAGGCAGCTCTGGAGAGACCCCTGCAGTCCCTGTGACTCCATCCAGCAGGATGGCCCTGGGTCAGGACAGTGTCGTTCCTTCACTCCCCTCTTGCCTGCAAGCTCCGGCTGGGTTAAATCCCCAGGAGGTGCTGCGTCCCTGCCCAGTCTCCTGAGTCTCCTTGATGGGTGGGAAAAGTCTAGCTGGGCCTCAGACGTGGGGTGCTGGGGGCCTGCCTGCTCCTTGCCAGTTGATCATGGATGCAGCCCCCCTGTGCAGGGAACACCCAGGCTACTGATGAGGGTACTCCAAAGAAGAATCACATGCTGCCTGGGTGGGATGGGGACATAGGCGTGGGGCAGGGCACCTCTCTGTATTGCCTGTTCAGCTCCTCCAGAATTCTGTCCTGGGTGCACATGACACTTTCTGCCCATTTTTTTTTTACTTTAGCTACCTGTGATACTCTGAAGTATATATCTAGTTCCAGGCAAGGTGGCTCATGCCTGTAATCCCAGCACTTTGGAAGGCCAAGGTGGGAGGATCGCTTGAGCCCAGGACTTCACGACCAGCCTGGGCAACATGGCAAAACCTTGTCTTGGGCCGAGCGCGGTGGCTCAAGCCTGTAATCCCAGCACTTTGGGAGGCCGAGGCGGGTGGATCACAAGGTCAGGAGATCGAGACCATCCTGGCTGACACGGTGAAACCCCGTCTCTACTAAAAAACACAAAAAAAAACTAGCCGGGCGAGGTAGCGGGTGCCTGTAGTCCCAGCTACTCGGGAGGCTGAGGCAGGAGAATGGCGTGGACCCGGGAGGCGGAGCTTGCAGTGAGCTGAGATCCGGCCATTGCACTCCAGCCTGCACTCCAGCCTGGGCTACAGAGCGAGACTCCGTCTCACAAAAAAAGAAAAAGAAAAAAAAAATTGTCTCTACAAAAATACAAAAATTTGCTGGGCATGGTGGTGCGTGCCTGTGGCCACAGCTACTCAGGATTCCGAGGTGGGAGGATCCCCTGAGCCTAGGGAAATCGAGGCTGCAGTGAGCCACGATGGCACCACTGTACTCCAGCCTGGGCAACAGTGTGAGACCCTGTCTCAAAAAAACATATATGTATTTGGTCTTTGACCCCTTTCCTAGCAAACAACTTAAAAACCCTCAGAAACTCCACACTGATGTCTTCTTGTGTGCTAATGAGGTGGCTGGCAGCATCTAGGTAGCTTGGTTATGGAAAGACCAAGACAGGACAAGAGGACTGGGACTTTCGGTCTCCACCCCCCGCCACACCTCTAGGGAGGGGCAGGGCTGAAGGTTCAATTGATCACCAGTGGCCAGTGGTTTATTCAATCATGTCTGCGTAATGAGGCCTCCCTAAAAACCCAAAAGGCCAGGGTTTGGGGAGTTTCTGAATAGCCGAACATGTAGGGGTTCCTGGAGGATGACACCCTGGGGAGGGCACACAAGCTCTGTGCCCCTTCCCCCACACCTCACCCTGTGCATCTCTTCATCTGAATTCTCTGTAATAGCCTTTTTAATAAGCCAGTAGGGTGGGGGGCAAGGCCCTGGGCCCATTAGCTCTTATTCATCACTGGGAACTCCATCAATGCCCAACCCTTTTTTTTTTTTTTTTTTGAGACAGAGTCTCGCTCTATCGCCCAGGCTGGAGTGCAGTGGCCAGATCTCAGCTCACTGCAAGTTCCGCCTCCCGGGTTTACGCCATTCTCCCGCCTCAGCCTCCCGAGTAGCTGGGACTACAGGCGCCCGCCACCGCGCCCGGCTAGTTTTTTGTATTTTTTAGTAGAGACGGGGTTTCACCGTGTTAGCCAGGATGGTCTCGATCTCCTGACCTCGTGATCCGCCCGCCTCGGCCTCCCAAAGTGCTGGGATTACAGGCTTGAGCCACCGTGCCCGGCCGCCCAATCCTTAAAAAATAATTTAAAAAGGCCGGGCGCGGTGGCTCAAGCCTGTAATCCCAGCACTTTGGGAGGCCGAGGCGGGCGGATCACGAGGTCAGGAGATCGAGACCATCCTGGCTAACACGGTGAAACCCCGTCTCTACTAAAAATACAAAAAACTAGCCGGGCGTGGTGGCGGGCGCCTGTAGTCTCAGCTACTCGGGAGGCTGAGGCGGGAGAATGGCGTGAACCCGGGAGGCAGAGCTTGCAGTGAGCCGAGATCATGCCACTGCACTCCAGCCTGGGAGACACAGCGAGACTCCGTCTCAAAAAAAATAAAAAATAAAAATAAAAATAAAAAAAATAATAATAATAATAATAATTAAAAAAAAAAATTTAGGCAGGGCATGGTGGCTCATGCCTGTAATCCCAGCACTTTGGGAGGCCAAGGCAGGCAGATCACTTGAGGTCAGGAGTTCAAGACCAGACTGGCCAATATGATGAAACCCCATCTCTACTAAAAATACAAAAATTAGCCAGGCGTAGTGGCATGCACCTGTAGTCCCAGCTATTTGGGAGGCTGAGGCATGAGAATCGCTTGAGCCAGAGGTGGAGGTTGCAGTGAGCCGATCAGGCCATTGCACATTAAAAATGAGACTCTGTCTCAAAAAGAAAAAAAAAAAATTAAAACCTGCTAAATATAAGTAAATGTTTCCCTGACTTTTGTGAACCACTCTAGCAAATTAATTGAACCCAAAACAGGAGTCGTGGGAACCCCAAGTTGAAGACAGAGTGTCAGAAGTTCTGCAGGCCCAGACCTCAGACTGGTGGGAAGGAAGTGGTGGTCTTGTGGGACTGAACCCTCAACTTGGGGTTTCTGAAGCTATCTCCTGGCAGGTAGCAGTTGGGTTGAATTGAATTGAATTGGTGGGCACCCAGCAGCTGTCCTATGAGAAATTCCTTACTTGGTCACAGAAATCTTCTGTGTTGACTGTTGTGCACAGTGAGAGTAGAGGAAAACGGTTTGAGTTGGTTTTTCCACACTTGCTACCCGTCCCCAAACAGCAGGGTGGAGAGCATGCGAGCATGCAAGTACGCTCATACTCACCTGGATTAGTTCTCCGGGCCCTGGGGGCTCCTGATCTCCCACTCAGCACCAGGCTACCCAGTGTAAGGTGGCATCTCATGTGAGCTTGCGGTTCTCTAATTACCAAGCGGTCTGAGCACCTCTCACTACTCCTGTTACAGTTGGGCCTCCTTCCCCTGTTCACGGCCTCTGCCTCTTCTGTTGGGGCTGCTGTCGCTTGTTGGTTTGCAGGAATTCTTTGCATATTTCAGATATTTGCATATTTCAGATATATTTTCAGTTTTAGACGGAGCCAATCTCTTCTGTCTGCTTAGTCCATGGGGCATTTGTCAAGCTAGTCCAGGAGGCGATGTGAGCCCCAGGTGTTCCTGCTGACCACTGTTGCCACGCACAGGGCGCTCCCCTGAGCCAATATTCCCTGTTGTCGGCTGCCACTGTGAGACCCTGACCAACAACAAATGACCAAGCCAGAAACACTGCACCTTCTCCCTCCATCAAACCACTCCCGCCCCGTGTCCTGCCATCGGCAGTCCTCCCACCTCCCTCCATCCACGCCAGTGCTGCCCCCGCCCTATAAAATCCAGGATCCGCACAACACATGGGATGGTTCATAAGTGCTCCACACGGGGCCTCGGCCTCCCGGCAGGCAGCTTTCATCTGAGAGTCACAGGGCCCTTTGCTGTCACCCTGATGGTCCCTCCCGCCCCACTGCTCTCCACCAGCCACAGCGCCTCAGTGGCCCCAAGCCCTCGCTCCTCTGGACCCTCGCATATGCTATTCCCAGAACGCTTTCCCTGCAGGTCCTGGAAAAATGGCCATGCAAAGGCCTCCTGGATCTTCCATGTTTCACTGTTGGGCCAGTACCCACTGTGTGACGTTGGAGGTGACAGCCCACAGGAGGCATTCCATAGACTCGGTCCCTTGCATTCCACTTCCCCAGGGAGGGCTTCCCCTCCCCACAGTGTGGGTGGGGTGGCAGTAGCAGAGACAGAGGTAGCACATAGGAGCCTAGAAACAGGAGCTTTATTCTCTAATGTGCGTACGGCAAGTTCCTTACACAATCAAGGAAATGGTTTCTCTTTCAGGCATCGACTCTTTTATCAAAAGAAAATCCATCCTGCTCAGTCCCACCCACCCTGGGCAGAAGTTGCCCTGAGCAATGCTCTTGGCACAAAGCTAAAGGATAATGGGAGGGGTGGGCACATACCACTGCACCCCTACAATGCCCAGATGCCCCAGGCCTGAGTCAGCCATGAGAAGGTGCAGCACAGAGCAGTCACTCACACACCTACACCTCCCCTCACAGCCCCAGAGCCAGCCTGGGAGGACATGGGAAGCTAGCGAATGGGGCGTGGCTAGGGCCTGCCAGTCAAGGCCTGTGCTCAGCATCCATGACATCCAAGTACTTGGCTTCAATGATTCGGGGCAGGAGGATATAGCTGCGGGGAGGGAGGGACAGGAGGATGAGCCTGGATCAGAGAGAAGGCAGTGGGCACCCATCCCAGCCCACCCCAGCCCACCCACAGGGCGAGGCTCTAGGCCTCTCCTCCCCGCCTGCCTATCCCAGCCCGCCCACTCTCCACTCCTAGACTGGAGCCACTCCTACCCACTACCCACCCCAACCCGCCCACTCTACCTCTAGGCTGGGCGCCTCCTGCCCACCGGCCATCCCAGCCCACCTACTCTCCACCCCTAGGCAGGACCCCTCCTCCCGGGCACCCAGCCCAACCCACCCATTCTCTGCCTCTAGGTGGGACCTCTCCTTCCAGCCCCTGCCCCAGTCCGCCCATTCTCCGCACCTAGACTGGGCCCCTCCTGTCCACCGCCCACCCGCCTGTACCGGATGGGGATCATGGCGATCATGATGAGAGGAAAGATCATCTTCATGTAAGGCAGGGAGCTCATGCCGAAGGCGCACAGCAGCAGCAGCTGCAGCACCTGCAGGCCTGTGAAGTAGTGGATCTTCCTCTGGGGCACCCTCCGGATGTAGTGTGTCGGGGGGTATGTAGTCTGTGGGCAGCAGGGACCGGGTGTGGGCAGGCATGGGGCTGTGTCCCCACCCACACCGCTCCCTCACAGGGCCAAGCGCTCACCTGCTCCTTGAGCAGCAGGGCCACGCGCTGGACAAGCTGATTGCCATCGAGAGAGGTGAGCGCGATATAGAGGAAGAGGCCATAGAGCACGGGCTTGGGGATCCACTGAAGCGGGACCGGCAGCAGCAGCAGGGACAGGCCCACCAGGACGCTGGCGCCCAGCGAGGTCAGCCGCGTCTCCTTCACGTTCACAATCCTGCAGCGCCCCGAGCCACCAGCGTCACCTCTGCACCCCTGTCCACAGGGCCTCATCCTTCCCTATGTCCCATGTGGTCAGAGGCTCCCCACTCCTCAGGGTCCATGGTTCTTGCCTGCCTCACACTCACGTGTCATAGATGTGCCCGTTCTCCACACGCTCCTCCACTAAGGCCAGGGCTCGCACATGCAGTGGGGAGTGGGGGTAGGCGGCATGGATCCAGGGCAGCCCAAACAGAGACAGCCCCGTGTTGATGATGGCGACGAGCAGGAGGTCCCAGTGGTAGGCAGTGCCCTTCACCAGCCTGCAGCAGACGGGCACTCGTGGACAGAGCCCCACAGGAGGGGGGCCCCACCCACCCCACCCTTGCCCACCCTCCACACCTGTTCTCCGGTGCGTTCACCAAGCCGGCCACCAAGTTCTGCTCGATGAAGAAGAGCATGGACAGCAGGAAGCCGAGGCCCATGGCGCTGCTGATGGCCCTCAGGGACAGCGACTGGATCTGTGCCATCGCAAATGGGCTCTCGCTGGGGTTGTAGCGGAACTTGCTCACTGCAGCAGGCGACAGGCTACTGCTATGCCTGCAGCGCCTGGGGAGCTACCCCACGCCACCCGCCGCCCGGCCCCAACTCACTCTCGATTTCCCGGAAGCCGTGGGAGCTGATGAGGGAGAAGGCGAGCACCGCGATGGGCAGAGCGCAGTCGGACAGGATCTCGCGCACGCAGGGGTGCAGGTAGGGGCTGGGGACAGCAGGTGCATGAGCACAGCCTTTGGCCCATGGGGCCCCTCCCCTCCCCACGCAGCCCCTCACCTCTTCTTGAATTGGTAGAGGGTGTAGCCCAGCCAGAGTGTGCCCAGCATGATGAGGAGGCTGAGCACAGCGGTCGCCTGGCCTGAGTGCGTGGCCAAGGGCAGCTCCGTGGGGCTGGTCCGGAAGCTGGCGTTGAGGGCAGTGTGGAGGCTGGCGTTGAGGCTGGCACCGAGGCCTGACAGGCTGACCAGGGATGAAGTCCTTTTTGTCTGGTAGTCGTCCAAGTGATGCCCATAGTAGTACTTCCAGAAGACTGTGGACACAGACCCACAGGCCTTAGCCCTCTCCAACATGTGGCCCTGGAGGGAGGGGATCTCAGGGAGAAAGGGCTTCAGGGGGAAGATGAGGGGACCCTGCCGACATGCCCATGCACCCACACTCCTGCCTACTGTCCCTGTCCCATCTCTGACACCTCATCACAGTCGGCCCAGTGCCTCTGCCCCCACTGCTGATCCCACCTGCGGTGGCCCCATCACCCTCCAGCGTGAAAGCCTCTGCCTTCTACCAGCCCAGGGCTCCCAGAGCACTGCACCCTTGACCACGGGCACACACTCAGCTTGAGCCGGTCCTATCTGCCCCCAGCCAGGGGCAGTGCAGAACCTCCCATCTTGCCTGAGCGCCCTGTGCAGCAGGTGGCTCCCAGACGCACTCACTTTTAACCATGCCCTTGACAGCATCCAGCACAAATGTGATGGAAATGAAGAGAGCAATGATCTCCTCCGTCGACCTGCCAGGAGGTGATGAGCCTCATCAGAGTGGATGTCATCAGGGGGCAGGTAGGGGAGGCCTCCCTGAGCCCCTGCACAGTTCCCTGCCTCCTTCTGCCAGGAAGAAGACCAGGGCCCTAGGCCTTGCCTGAGTCCACCCCTGCCCCTTGGGGCAGTGATATGGTGGGGGCACCCCATCACCCTGGGGTTCCAGGGGGCTGAGCCAGATCCCAAGCTTTAAGGGTCCCAGAAGCTCACAGAAGGGCCAGTCACCTCTTGAAGAGACTCATGACCAGGCTGAGGTTGAAAAAGGCATAAAGTGTGAGGAAGAAACTATTCCACAGGCCTGTCCACGCGTAGAAGGAGCTGAAGTCCAGGTCATAATCATCACAGATGACACGAATCACTGCGGGCAGGGGGCAGGGCGGGTCAGGGCCTAGCAGGAACCAGGGGTGTCAGGCACCATCTCCCGCCTCAGCCCCCACTGCACCCTGGATGTAGAGCGCCAGGGGCGCGGTGGTCAGCAGAATCACCAGTGGCTGCCCGGAGAAGAGCGCGTAGAGCAGGCCCCCGATGCTCTGCCCGGCTATGGTCTTCTGCACATCTGTAGGGGTGGGGAGGTCAGGCGGGCGCTGCAGCCCAGGGCCCTGCCCAGCATACCCCCACCCACCACCTACCGCCAGCCCCTCACCAATGGCCCCGTCTGTGTTCTCGTCATTGAGGGACCCGAAAGCGATGGTGGGCAGGAGGCAGGCGAAGTAGAGGAACAGGGTGGTGGTGATGTATTTGCCCACAGCCTTGTTTTTCCCAATAATGCCTAGGAATGGGGGACGGGAGACAGGGTTTGCTGGGGATGCAGGACAGGTACACGTGTGGGCCCGAGGCCTGGAAAGCAGAGGCCCAGATGGCTCTGCTGACGTACCGTCAGTGAAATCCAAGGGGTACAAGGGGAACCTGCGTGCGATGTCCTCCCGGATGCCCTTCCCGAAAGGGACAAAGTCCTTGCACTTTGGGGGCTGGAGGAGAGGACAGAGCGCCTGTTAGCCCTGTCCGGCCCAAGCCCCCGCCAACCCTGCCGGTCCATACTGGCCTCCACCCTGTACCTCTGGGTGTCTGTGGGCAGGGAAGGAGACTGTGCTGTGTTCCTTCATTCTCAGCGCCACTGGACCGTGGCTCACCATGGTGAGCAGCTGTCTCTGATGCACCAAGGCCTCCTTGAATTCCTCCTCTGTGCGGGTCTCCAGGAGCTTCTGGCGGAAGGCGATATCCGAGAACATGGTGGCAAATGTGCGCGCCACCTCCATGGCAGTCTTAGTGCTTTTCTAGGGGTGGAGGACGGGAGTCACATCCACCACCCCTGTGGAACAGAGGAGGCCCTGCCCGGGCCCAGCAGCTGGAGGTGCTCTCCCCATCAACTGGCAGCAGGTTTCCTGTCTGTTTGTTTTTTGTGTTTTTTTGAGACAGGGTCTCACTGTCACCCAGGCTGAGTGCAGTGGCGCACTCACAGCTTATTGTAGCCTCCACCTCCTGGGCTCAAGCGATTCTCCCACATCAGTCTCCTGAGTAGCTGGGACCACAGGCACACACCACCATGCCAGGCAATTTTTAAATTTTAACTTTTTGTAGAGACGAGGTCTCACTATGTTGACCAGGCTGGTCTCAAACTCCTGGCCTCAAGCAATCCATCTGTCTAGGCCTCCCAAAGTGCTGGGATTATAGGCACGAGCCACTGTGCCCAGATGCTGGTAGCAGGTTTTATTCTACAAAGTTCAGGCATTAGTGTACTCTGCCATGATTTCAACCAGGTCGGCAGAACACCACAACTATCATCGATCTATATTTTTCTTATAAACTCCTGATTTCTTATAAACTCAAGATATTACTTTTGTCCTAAGTAACAAAAGTCTGTGTAATCACAGATAATGAAACCACAATGGAGAAAAATGTTTACCCAGCTACGTTTCCCCAGTGGTATTTGCACTGTCTGCGGGTTTGACTTTCAGAGAGGATCTAAGCCCATCAGGCACTCTGTCTCTCGCCTGGCCAAGGTGAAGCCTGTCCATGAACCATGAACTCATGAACTCAGTGTATGGCCCTCATCACGGCAACCTGCTCACCTAGGGGCAGTGTCTGCCCATCTGTTGCTCAAACTATAGTCCTGGGGCACTGTACATGTTTGCTTTAGAAGAGGGCCATGCTTGGCAGGGCATGGTGGCTCATG